TATTTTATTTTTTTTTTCAAAATGGGAGGTTATTGCAACTTATACGAAAAGTTGGGATGAAATGCTTTAGCTTGCAATAATCAACACCAGATATTACAAAATTCCAGAGTATGGGTGGCGTTGTGATCTTTAAATATTGGTCACTGACAGTTTATTGTCATTGTCACCGACAGTTTTTTGTGATAAACTCCCTTTGCATATTCAAGGATGAACAAAATAATGAAGTGTGAGTGATGACTTTGGCAGGCATCTGAGTGTTCATTGGCTAAAAATTGCCAGATAACCCTCAAAACCCCTTCTTAAGTGGAGCAAGTGCTGACATAGAAACAACAAAATTTGGTCTAGTGCTCTTTCCACTGACTTTGTGGGTTTTCTTGTGTACCCACCAACTATGTTGATCCTACTTGCTAGTTGGTAATCCAGTCATCTTTTTCTATAAAGCCCATGGAGTTGCAAAGAGTTTGAGCTACACACACACACACACAGCAGTAAAAGAAATGGAAGCTCCAAAGAAGTACATTTGTGTTCTGGGGTTTCTTTTGTTTCTAGGCATTGCAGAGCTTGGAGGGGTTAATGGGGCTGGTGAATGTGGAAAGGCTTCTCCAGACACAGAAGCTTTCAAGTTGATTCCTTGTGCATCAGCAGCAAAGGATGAAAATGCTACACCTTCTAGTGCTTGCTGCCTTCAGGTGAAGAAGTTGGGCCAGAACCCTGGATGCCTTTGCGCTGTTATGCTTTCCAACACTGCTAAAAACTCTGGAGTCAACCCTGAAATTGCCATAACCATTCCCAAACGCTGCAACCTCTCTGACCGTCCTGTTGGCTATAAGTGTGGAGGTTTGTTATATCCAATAACATCCGTCTCTTAATCACCCTTATATTTATTCTCTTGGAAAATTATTCATTACTCTCATAGCACCACCACTGAGTCATATGCACATACGTGGTGCTTTCGAACTCAATCAATAAGGTTCACCTAAAAAGGATGGTGATCACTGTTTTGGCTGGCCTCCACCATGCCAGCACTGGTGTTGGAAGTTGGTGCTTTGAGATTTCTTTTCTCACCCATGCAATGTTGTTTTTACCATCTTTTCAGACGTAAGAACTTTAGCAAAGAACAAAAGAAAAGAAAAGAAAAGAAAAGAAAAACTAGTTGTCCATGGTTATATTGCATTGAATTGATTGCTGGATTTTTTTGGTTGTGCAGGGAGTTTTGCTGTTGAGCCACTTTCTTGGGACATACGGCTCAAAATAGCCATTGGTGCAGCACGGGGCCTTGCTTGCTTGCACACATCAGACAAGAAAGTCATTTACAGGGACTTCAAAGCATCTAATATACTGCTTGATGGGGTGAGAATTTATATGATCGTGCCTCGTAAGTTAATGAGTTGGATTTTATACTTGTGTTCTGAAAAGGCACTGACAATAAGAATAAGTAGGAAAAGGAACTTTGAATATGGTGACTATCTTGGAATGGAATGTGTGTCCTCTGTTTGAGTGACAAGGGAATGTAAGAAAAGAGTTGAGTACATTTTTTTTTGGAGCGGGGGAAGGGGAGGGGAAGTTGATCCCGGGGCTCGAACCTGGGTTTTAAGCTTGGCTTACCCCTAGGTAGTATCCATATTTTTTTTTTTGCAAAAATTTGTATCAATTAGAGGGGGAGGGAACGTCAAACTTGTGACCTCCTCCTAGTGAGGAACGAATCATGAATTCTGGCCAGTACTTGTTATCTGTGTTTTCTTAATGACAAGGTCTATAATAAGGTCTCAAGACTTGGGAGAGTGACTTGAGCACTTATCTAGAATACAGGGACTGCCATTTCATCTTTTTAAATCATTCAACAAAACAAGTGGTGTATCAACATCACAATCATGTAGATAGATATTTCCTCTAACGGCATTCATGTAATGAGATTCATCCTGTGCATTTTCCATTGAAACAAACATGACCTACGATAAAATGGGGCAAACATGGAAAACAATTATTCTGAAAGCTTTTGTGTGTTTTGTTTTCTTTTTACAGAACTACAATGCAAAAATCTCAGATTTTGGCTTGGCGAAATTGGGGCCCTCAGGTGGAGAATCGCATGTGACAACACGAGTTATGGGCACATATGGTTATGCTGCTCCAGAATATGTTGCAACAGGTAAATATGAATCCTTTTTTGTTAAAATGTTTAGAGAATTGAACTATAGAAATTATTCCCAAAAGACATCTTCTATGAACAAGCACATGAGAGGCAAAGGTTCCTGCTTATATGTTTTATTTGGTCGATAGTTCATATGATCTAGGTCGAAAAATAAAGGGTTCGTTTGGTTTGAATTTCCCAAAAAATTTTGGGAAAATTTCTCTACAAATGAGTTTTCAGAAAAACTCAAACCAAACAAATTTTCTTAAAAAAATTTCCCAAAACTTGTAAACCAAACAAGTTTTTCAAACAAATCTCTCTCTCATACACATCAAATCAATCACTTTTTCCAAAACTCTCTCTCAAAATAATTTTCCAAAACATCTTTCCAAAAAAACCAAACCAAACAACTTTTCGTACTTTTTATCTCCCAAACTCATCTCTCAAAATCAAACCAAACAAGCCCAAAAAATAAAAAAACCCGTCCCTTGTGGTAAAAATGAATTAGTTCAAATTTTCAATAGGTCATTTATATGTGAAGAGCGACGTGTACGGTTTCGGTGTTGTGCTGCTGGAAATGCTGACAGGTTTGCGGGCACTTGATTCCAAACGCCCCAGTGGGCAGCATAATCTGATTGATTGGACAAAGCCCTTTCTCTCCAACAAAAGGAAGCTGAAATCAATTATGGATGTGCGGATAGAAGGGCAATATTCTTCAAAGGCAGCGTTGATTGCTGCTCAACTCACTATACAGTGCCTGGAATCAGAACCTAGAAAACGCCCCCCCATGAAAGAAGTTGTAGATATCTTAGAACGGATTGAAGCCATGAAGCAAAAACCAAAAGAATCCCAAGCCATCTCTACACACTCTACAGCTCATCGTCATCAAAATGAACTAGTGCATATTTAGTACTATGCATCTATTTCTGGTAACATGGAATGGAAGTCGTACTATGCATTTCTCATGAGATGCATCCGAGAGTTGACCCTGAAATCAGACAAGCAGAAGGTCTTAATGCGGCTTGTCTGCGCAGTTCTGGACCACTTTCATTTTATGGAAACTCATTTTTGTCAAGAATCCAATGATTCTGTTGTCGATGTATCAAAAGCTGGCACCACTGCATTGACTTCATCTGTGTTGCACACATATACGAGTTCTGCTGAGGTTTCTGAGATACAATCATGTCTCCATAAAACAGTGCTTCCTAAGATACAGAAATTGTTGACGTCTGATTCTGATAATGTCAATGTCAATATCAGTCTTGTTGCACTGAAACTGCTAAAGTTGCTTCCTGATGATGTCATGGAATTACATCTTCCAAGTATTGTCCATCGCATTTCAAACTTCCTCAAAAATCGTTTGGAAAGTATACGTGATGAAGCTAGGACTGCTTTGACTGCCTGTTTGAAGGAGCTGGGGTTGGAGTACCTGCAGTTCATTGTCAAAGTCTTGAGAGCCACCTTAAAACGAGGATATGAGTTGCATGTATTGGGATATACTCTTGATTTTATTTTGTCTAAGTGTCTTGTGAATCCAATTAGTGGGAAGTTGGATTATTGTTTGGAAGAACTTCTTTCTGTGGTGGAGAATGATATTTTTGGAGATGTTTCTGAGGAAAAGGAAGTGGAAAAGATTGCTTCAAAAATGAAAGAGACTAGAAAGCGCAAGTCTTTCGAAACCCTGAAATTAATTGCCCAAAACATCACATTCAAAACGCATGCCTTGAAGTTGCTTTCACCTGTTACAACTTGTCTGCAGAAGCATTTAACCCCAAAAATGAAATCGAAATTGGAAACTATGTTAAACAACATAGCTGCTGGTATTGAGTGCAATCCATCAGTTAATCAGACAGACCTCTTTATCTTTTTATATGGCCTCATAGAAGATGGCATTACCCATGAAACTCGTGCAAAGGCCAATCAGCAATCTGGAGATGAGGCAAGCTGCAAAACTATTACATCAGGCAGGTTAATTGACTCTGACTCACAATCTTCACATCTTATTACAGTGTTTGCTCTTGGGGTGCTGCACAATTCCATGAAGAATACTAAACTTAACAAAAAGGACGAACAACTGTTATCAATGTTGGATCCTTTTGTAAGATTGCTCACTGACTGCTTGACTGCCAAATACGAAGATATCATTTCTGCAGTGCTCAGGTGCCTTGCTCCACTGGTGAGGCTGCCTCTACCATCTCTTGAATCACAAGCTGACAAGATAAAGACCTCTCTGTTGGTTATAGCTCAAGGCTCTGTAAATGCTGGCAGCCTTGTGATGCAATCATGTCTAAGTTTGCTAACAGTGCTTCTGCGGAGCACTAGGATTACGCTTTCCACAGATCAATTGCATATGGTGATCCAGTTTCCTTTATTTATTGATCTCGAAAGAAATCCCTCGTTTGTTGCTCTTTCACTTTTAAAGGCTATAGTGAACCGCAAACTTGTAGTCCATGAGATATACGATCTTGTGACTCGGGTTGCAGAACTTCTGGTAACAAGTCAAGTGGTGCCAATTCGCAAAAAATGCAGTCAAATTCTATTGCAATTCTTACTTGACTATCATCTTTCAGAGAAACGTTTGTAGCAGCATCTTGATTTCTTGCTTTCAAATCTGAGGCAAGGATATAGTAATTATCCACATCTCATTTACCTCTATTATTTTTAATTTCTCTTACAGTGATTTAATTTTCTTGCAGGTATGAACATTCGACGGGAAGAGAAGCTGTGCTTGAAATGCTCCATGCAATTGTAATCAAGTTCCCAAAAGCCATTATAGATGAGCATTCCCAGACCATATTTGTTTATTTGGTGGTTTGTTTGGCTAATGATTATGACAACAAAGTCCGCTCCATGACTGGCGCTGTTGTAAAGCTTCTGATTGGGCATGTGAGCCCACATTCACTTCATTCCATTCTCGAGTATAGTCTCTCTTGGTACTTAGGTGGAAAGTAGCATTTATGGAGTGCTGCAGCCCAGGTAAAGTAATCAAAACTGGTCTGCAAGTTGTATATTTTGCAGATTTTTAGCTAGCATGTGTGAGCCTGCATTCACATTAAATTTTGACCATATGCAACATTAAACACATTAAAGTTTGATCATATGCTTTAACAGAAGTGAAAAAATTACATTAATTTTTGAAAAAAGACCGAAGGATATAACATCAAACATGTTTTTGTTTTTTTCTAAGAGAATTCGAAGTGGGAATTGGGTTTTGTTTACTGTTCATTCGCATGTTTTCACTTGATTTGGTGAAGGTGAAAACATCCTTTTTGTGTTGTCATTTTTTGAACCTTGTATTGAAGACGGATTTCAAAAAAATTAAAAACAAAAGCAAGCACCAAACATATTTTTCTGTTGTGTTTTCAAAATTTTTGAAAACAACAACATGAAAACATGGAACACAACTGGAACCAATTGAAGGCCCCACTAATTGACAGCACTGCCAGCAAGTGTGACATAATTCTCTCTATTGCAGCTATGGGCTCCTGCTGATGACGAATTGATTTTTCTCTATTTATTATTGGTCGCAAAATGTCACAATTGGCGACCAAAATTTTTTGTCGTCAATTGTCACAATTGGCGACAAAAAAATTTGGTCGTTGAATGTGCTAATTGGCGACCAAAATTATTGGTCGTGGAATGTGACAATTGGCGACTAAGATATTTGGTCGGCAAAAGGCAACTTTTCGCGACCAAAATGTTTTTGCGACAAAATAGATTAGTAACAGTAATGATATATTTAGCGACCAAAAATTTAGTCGGCAAATCCAACTTTTCCCGACCAACGAAAATTTTGGTCGCGAATTACTTTTGCCGACCCTCAATTGGCGACCAAACTAGCGACAAAAAAAATTGGTCGCGGATAACTTTTGCCGACCAAAAATCGACTTTTAGCGACCAATTTTTTTGTTGCCAAAACTGTTAATTTCTTATAGTGAATGGGCCTATTATGGGGTTGATTTTGGTGCTATGAGACGTTCACATTTTAAAATTTATTGAGTAAAATATTTATGTGAAAAATTAAGATGATAGTTATATATTTGAATCATATTTCATTTAAAAAAATAGATAACAAATATAATTTGAGGAATAGCCATTCATTTTGTGTAATACAAATATGATTCAAATATATAGTTTCTAATATTCGATTATTTTAATTTTTTCATAAATATCTTACTCAAAAAATTCTTAAAAGTGAATAATTTAGATTATCAAATTAACTCCGAAATAGCCCTATCAAGTCCAAACTATACTAATAGGTTGAAGAGAATCCAAACCAAAAAAAGTATGCATACATGATGAATGGACTGCATGGTAATGCTCGGTCGAAAAAACAATGCATGTTGAAAAATCATGACAAATAAATACTAAAGCGGTGGAGGAGATCATGGGATCCATTCACCAACAACTTCTACAATTATCTACAAATAGAATAAAAATACATACACAAAATGTGGAATTTCGTCTAATTTTTTAATAGATAGTATCAATTAAATTAAAAGTTGATTGATTAATAATTTCCATATTTTAGATTTGAGATCCGTATAGTGTTATATATATATATATATATATTTTTTTTGTAATCCATTTAATCTTTTTAGATGTGGAATGATTCATTTGCCCATTAGATTGTAGATGTGGAATGACTCATGTGGAATGACTCATTTAATCCTTTTAGAAAGTTACATTAAAGTGTTACGTTTGGAAAAAATACATTAAGCTGTTTTTTTGGACTGTTATCTTGGAGTGTTATGTTTTAGTGTTAGAGTGTTCAAGTGTTACGTTTGGAAAAGTACACTAAGGAATTTTTTAGTGTTAGAGTGTTACATTGCAGTATTATGTTTGAAAAAAGTATACTAAGAAATTTTTTAGTGTTAGAGTGTTACATTGCAGTATTATGTTTGAAAAAAGTATACTAAGAAATTTTTTAGTGTTGAAGTGTTACATTTGGAAAAAAATACACAAAAGAGTTTTTGAGTGTAATACGTTGTACACTAAAGAAGTTTTTAGTATGTTACATCGGAATGTAACGTTCGGAAAAAAAAGTATATTAAGGAGATTTTTTTAGAATGTTACGTTGAAATGACGGAAACGTAATCTAAAAATTGGATCCAACTTTCCTAAAATAACGTCCCCCAATGAGGAAGGGTATAAATATCTATCAAATCATACAAAAATTTAAAATAAGATTTCACGGTAAGGTTGTCAAAACAAACAGAACCTATCAATGTATTAAAAAATTCATGGGGCTGATTGGAGTAACTGATTCCTATATTGGACTTTTTGATAATTTTTCCTAAACTAAATTGAGAAAATATAAAAAAACTAGAACACAAAATTGATACAATTCATATTACTATGATCAAATTGATGCAAGAAGAAAACTATAAGAACTATAAGTTTAATTTAGAGTAAAGTTAGATACCCCTAAAATCTAATCCCTAAATTTACCCAAACTGACATGGTAGGAGTTTATTTTTTTTTTTTGGCTAACAATGTTGTAGGAGGTTAGGCTTTAATTGATTGATTTCTAAACAAATCAACAAATAATATAATACTTCATGTCATTGAGGTAAATTTAGAAGGGTTTGATTTCTCTCAAGTTGTCATCTTAACTTTTACGAGTGTTTGAGTTTGGTAAACCCATTTTGGAACAAATTTCAGTAATCCAAGCCGTTTAATTTTTTTGACTCATTAAGTAAAATATTCATACAAAAAATTAAGATGATTGGATATCAGTAACTATATTTTTAAATCATATTTGTTTTAAAAAAAATGGACGACAAATATAATTTCAAGAATAACAATTCATTTTTTGTAATACAAATTTGATTCAAACATATAGGTGCCGATATCCGATCATCTTATTTTTTATAAGAATATTATACTGCATGAATTCTCAAAAGTGAATTGTTTGGATAATTGAAAATGGGACATGTGTTGGGCTCAACACCCTTTAAGTTC